GGCCAGCAGAGACAGGTAGTTGAGTTCAATGCATATATCGCATGCATCTTAAAGATACTTGTACAACATTATGTTCATTGCTCTGTTGTAACAGATACTCACACACACACACACACACTCAGATCGACCTGGCACACTGCGTGTGATCGATCAGGCCGTGCAATTAAAATGAGATCTGCCCAGTTGGCAACTGGTGCCAGCCAGGCCGAGAGCGCGGAGAGTGAGTGACCCACAGCGGCGCTATTGTCCTGCCCGTTGTCCATTCACAAGTGTCGTCGCGTCAGTGACATAGTGAGACGCAGATAAAACTAGAAAAGGACTCGCTGCATCATTGATAAGACTGCGGCTGGACCAGCGCCTGGCGCCAGTGTCGCCTAGATCGAATTGCCCTTGCTTCGAGGGGACACTTTTCGGGAGTGAGAGCGAGCGACCTTCTTCATTCATCAGGCAGTCAAATTTCGGGACATAGTCGAGCTCAACTTGCATTTTTAATGCCCTCACTGCTGCTCATAAAATAGATAAAAAGTGGCACAGCACATGTAACGGTGTCTGAGAACTAAGAGATACCCTGTATCTGCCAAAGGAGTCCTTCATTCATGATTGCACAAGGTGTATGAGAACTGGAAGATATCCTGGGGCTACTAAGTTAAGTCTACTTTATAGTGAATGAGTCTGTATATGTTACTTTAAGAATATTATTATAAATATATATAATGAATCATTTCTAATGGAATACATCTGCTTAAGGAGCATGTATATGGATATAGAATAACAGATCTATTCTATTCAGATTCATGCAGCTATTCGTGGTCAAAACCTGAGAAAGTCCAAAATACCCAAATTTATGTTACAATAAATACAGGGTATTCAGGCTGTCCACTTGTACATCAACATTTAACAGATTTAAAAGACTGTTAAGTAGTTTTCCATTCTTAATTATGTAACTAAATAATGTGAAGTACTGTATGGATGGGAATACTCTATTTGTATATAATCAAATTCAGCCCATTTTCTAATATAAAATTTTATGGCTATCAACTTGAGCGATGTACATAATATAAACAACCATGAATGTCCTAGTCTGTAGCATTCTATAACTTGCATTGAATCACTTTAATAAATGTATTTTTAATAATATTCAGTGCTCATTAATAAATCAATCGAGGCTTAGAAATATTTCAAAATAAGCTTATGAAATAATTGTATTATACTAAGTTGCCTAAAGTCGTAAATTGTTTAGAAATAGAAAAGTAATCATTCATTAATAGAACTTGCCAATAAATAACAGCACAGATCTATTAAAGTAAGAGTTTTTTTTTTTCTATTGATTCGGATCTTGTAACATATAGCTCAGGGAATCAGTCTCGATTCCATATATATCTTTCGTTTGAGGCTTAATTATTTCAATAAAGTGTACTCAAGTCATCGTAATTACTTGATAATTATCAGCAACATTTTTATGCCCATACAAACATACATATTTCATTTCAAGCTCAAGTGTTTGTATTTAAGCTCTTCAAGTCAGTGGCACAAGGGAGGCCACGTTTCTATATTTCTGGAAGGCTTAATCTTAACATTTCTCTACCCTTAATTGAATTTCGTGAAACATTTTTGCCTTTTGGCATTGATTTCTATGAGGGGTTGCAACGTGGGCTCAGCGCTTGGGGCACATAAATAACATCACGTGTTGCAGCTTACATATTTATATCGCTGTATTCACAAGGAGATATTTATATGTATATTTGTATGTATATATATATATATGCATGATCCGTAACGAAGCTACTTAATATAGCCACGTTTATGCCTATGTTCGCTTATCTAAGCGAACTTATCGATTCGTTAGAGCGAATAAAATAGATTAAGAAATTACATTTGTTTTTTAGCTCAATGCAAAGGGATTAAATTGTATATATAATTGTATATATATTTTAAACTGAATATAGTGCGTAGATATTTTATACGGAATATATAGCAATAGAATATTGTATTAGTTGAATTGGAAATCGAACTGCTATGCTCAATTCAATTATGAATCCAGCCACATTTATACGAATATTTTTATACAAAAATTTGCTTATTGTTATAAAAACAGATTGCAAATAAATAAATAAAAATAAAAAAATACACATTTTATGCATATATGTATATATATATGGAAGTCTCAAAGAAGAAAACACAAACGAATAGTAAATAAAATAGAACAACAACAAAATATACTCATAGTGAAAAATTATCATACTCTTCCATATACTGGTAATAATAAATAAAAATTATGAATTATGAAATTCTATTAAGATTTGGTATGAAAATGTCGAGTGAGCATAACGTATTTTTTTAATTTTAATAATATTTTTATGTGAATTAGCATTATAAAAATACTTTGAAGTCTCTTTTTTTTATATATACATATATCATTCTATCTATTTCACATTATTAGAGCCAAGTTTTCATTGTTCATTCAACTTTTGAAGCTTGAGATGATCTTTTGAGTATTGTCTTGTCGTACTTCTTTTTAGGCCTGATCGCTGGATAATCATTCGTTGTTCTCATATTTAAATTGGCGCCGGCGCCACCTGTCAGACCGTCGCTGTATTCTTGCACGATCCGGCTGTAACAATCGTGTAGTTGCTAAAAGTGCCCGCTGCCCGAGTGCCCGGCTACTAGGCTGCTAGGCTGCCTGGCTGCCCAGGAGCTGCGGCGATCGCCAACGACGCCAATTGCAGTGTGGCCAGGGTAGAGAGATTGCGAGAACAATGTTCTCGTTACACAAAAATCATGTTTTCTGCGCTTGCCCTTGGAGGTCGGTCGTGGCCAGCATTTGCCATCAATTGCGCAGGCGGGCCACACAGCGGCAGCAGCAGGCGCAGCAGCCGCAGCAGCCGCAGCAGCTGTACCCCAGCTGTACCCCAGCAGCTAGCGACGGGGCCAACAATGAGAGAGCTGGCTGTTAGGAGGCATTCATTCAGAATGGCCAGTTCGAGTTTCATTTGATATTTGTGGCGTCTCGACTGCCTCGCCAGCATCCCAAACCACAACGACCCCGTTGTGATCCTCGCAGCAGCAGCAGTATTGTTTGAGACAATCTAGACTGTCCATTGAGCAACTGCTCAAATCAGAGAACCAAGACGAAGACGAAGACGCAGACGCGGACGCAGACGAGGTTGTAGAAGAAGTGGCTAATGCGCCGACACCCCGCTGCGACGGTGTGCGTGAGGGCAGAGTCGTCTTTAATTGAGTTATACGACTGACCCTTCGGCTATACCTGATCCAGCTCTGCCGGAGGGTTGCCAGCGGCTTAATGTACCATGTTTTGACATAAATAAATGCCTGAATACATTTAAGTGATCGTATTTTGTTTGACTTTCTATGCCCAGCAAGCAAAACTGTTTGGCATGATTTATGTTGCTCGATTTGCCAACTGCCACAATGTATATATCTGTTTGGCTGCATATAGAGATCTATTTAGTCTGGCAGATGAGGATGTGACCGATATTACCCACATCCAGGCCGTAAACAGATAACAATAGTTTATTAATTCCCTCCGACAATTAACGCTTCAGCCATTTGGGGTGGCATTGTCACTCTCCTGCTCTAGCTCTAGTTTGTATGAGAATATCTTTTTGGTTAGCATTCTATGGCTCTATCTAAGTGCTTTGAAATAGATACAGTCATGCATTCCAAATACATTACTTTTCTATATCATACATTTAACAAAAATGTTTGTAGATTCTATCAAGGATTTGTCTTTATGCATATATTTTGGATTTTGAATTGATATCTGTATAAAAATTTTTTTAGAATTATTTTGTTACTCATTTTTAATAATTTTGGCTCTTATTTAAGCATTTCAATTGATTCTATATAACAAATATTTAAAAAATATATATATTATACAACTCTTTATTTCTGATTTTATCTGCGATCCATTAGACAAGGGAAGGACCGGTTTCTATAGCAAATTTGCTTTGTTTTTTTGTAGTTTTTATTTTACCTAATTTATATATTTACATAAATCGATTTTTAAACAGCTCTACCTTCAGCACTTTTCTACAGTTGTTTCAAATGGATTTCGATCTTAATGGAAGCCAATTGGACATATACAAAAGTATGCTACATTTTGTGGATTGAAAAAATGATTGCATACTTTTAGGCAGTATGAAATATTAACTTTCAGTGATCCTCTTGACTACGCAATAATAAATATATATTTGATTTAAGTTTGAAATCAGTTTTGATAGAAACAGCAATTCAAATGTTACAATAATTTTTTATTTTTAATCAAGAGCTTGATATGCGATCTGTAAATTATAATCAACACCCTTATATAGTATTTGAAAATGTACAGCTGATATAGTAGCTCACTTTTAGCTCAGCTAACATATTAATAAAGCATCGAAATAAAATTTAGTTCTACGTATGCTATAGGACACTTAATGATTTGGAAGTCTGCTACATTACTAAATGCAAATGTAAAGTTTTGTGGCAACCAACACAAATTATATAAGACACAAAAAGAAATAACTTGTATATTAATGATTATTTCCAAAATAAAGTACTCATGACAATGGACAGATGAAGAAATTCAAAGATTCTTTTCACATATATCTTATTTTCATCATTAAATATATATATGCATAAGTCAAAGTGTTACTCAAAAATTCCTGTCATTTTATTAATTATCCACACATTATTTATACGTGCCATGCAAAATGTTTTATCAATCAGTATCCAATAATCATTAAGTGAATTAAGCAACATCTGTGCAACATAATTGCCAATCCCTATTTTCTAGATTTTATTTATTTGTATTATAGTATTTTGGACACATAATTAAGTTGGGGGTAAAATTTATACAAAGTAATTTAATCTACATATATAATTTTGCTTCTAATAATCAAGAATTTGCCTCTTCAATTTTATTTTTGCTTTATTTTGTATTAAATAAACTCAAAATACCCCGATTTATTTATTTTATGATGTGATCTTATGGTTTGAGTAGAAGTGCTAAAAAGCCAGTCAACAATTGGCTGTTCTTTAGCTTCCACTAAAAATATTTGCATAGAATAAGCACTCTTTATATCAACAAATTCTTTTATGAGTATACAATATTTAAGAAGCCTTAATTACATTTTTATGCACCAGATTTGAGTATATAATTAAAATTATTATTGCGTTAGCTCCATTTTCATATATGAGTATATATGGTTGAAGCCAGATTTCGATAGTTTTCATCCATGTCGCAGGCAGAACACAAATCTGAAAATCATAAAAAATGTTAGCAAATTATGCAACACGAATATAATAATCAGCGTATAATAGCAAACCAGTTAAGCAGCCTCCGAGTCCGCATCAAAGATAGTTAAAGCCACTAAAAAAAATAATAAAAAAATCATTCAATTATTGTTAGAGCATAAAGATTCAACGATCTGCAGTTAACAAAGCTCAACTTACATTAAATTTGTATATATAATATTAGCATGAATAAAAGAAATAAGGGAAAACAGAGCCAAGTGTGCAACAGGCTGTAGAGGCAGACTGTTTGTCTGCTGGCTGGCTTTTACGAAGACGAGGTTCTGGGCCCAAATGGAATGCCAATGAATGAATCAAATGGATGCGATATACAAATTTACGTTTGTCTTGAGGTCAGCATTGAAACCCACATCGTCATTTGGGCCTCAACAGATCTGAGAGACATCAATAAGATTAGCCAGCAGATAAGAAGTTTCCGGTCAAACCGAAATAAATGAACGAGAATAGCTTGGCTACACTGGTGGCACGAAATATTAGACAGACTGTGTTGGGAAAGCCAATCAGCTGCGAAGCTTGAGCTGGCATAAATTATAATTAAAATTCGAGTTATTAAAATTAATTTGATAAATATATATAAAATTAATTTTTTTTTCTTTATAGAGTATACATTTCATTTCAACAAATTGTCCTGTCCGACAATTTGTAAATATATTTTGACAGTACTTAAGAGAGTAAATGAACACGCTGTTGTATGTTTGTTCGCTTGTCACCGATATTTATACTGCTGTCAACTATATGTGGGACGCGGCTGTGGCTGGCGCGGCAACAAAGCCAAAGGCAGAGGCAGAGGCAGAGGCAGAGGCAGAGGTAGAGGCACACACTAAAAAGAGCTCGTAAATGAAGCTCCCCCGAATACATATGCAATGGCAGTTGGACGGGACGGAGTGGAGAACCAAATAAACACGTCGACTGCCATCCGTTCCCCACACTTCAAAAAACCGGCTAATTAATGACGTTTCCCCGTTTTCATGCCCCGATCCCGATCGACTGTCCTCTGCAGCCTCTGCAGCCTCTACAGCCTCAACAGAGCGGTGCCATTTTTGTTTTGTTTTTGTTTTTTGGTTGCTTTGGTGACGGTGTCGTAAGTGAAGTGCCAATAAACACGTGATTTACTTCGGCTCTGGCCATGCTCAAAGAGCTCAGCGGTACGAGAACGCCGCACTTAGCCAACAGACGGTCTGCCTGACTGTGTGTGTGTGTGTGTGTGTGTGTTGGTCTCTCTCTCTCTCTTTGCATGTGTGTGTGTGTGTGACAGTCAAAATCATGAGGCTTATCGCTTCCATCGGCCCATCAAGATTCCGCTCATTAATTTTGAAATTAGGCGGGTTTTCAAGAAGAGCAAAGAAATGATGTCCAGCTAAAGTCCGAATAAAACAGCCCGGCCCCGACTCCGATGCATTTCAGTGGGACCAACCATGAGTGCATAAATTAATTAAGTCGGTCGGAATGTGGACGTGGACGTGGACGTGTATGTGCCGAGCCGAGCCAAGCCGATCCGTGCCGTGCCGTGCCGACCTTTTGTCTGGCACTGTGGCACTATAAGTAAAGAGCCCAGCCGGGGCTGTCCGCCCATCTCCCTCTCCCACTCTCTCACTCAGTGTCTCTCGCTGTCTTTGTCTCTGGGCTGGGCGCTATATTCAAATTGAGCCTGTGTTGTTGTTGGACCGTAGGATGTTGTAAATTAAAAGCCGCGGCTGGTCCTTTGTGCCCTGGCTGCAGCCTGCTGCTGCCTTTTGGCTGCTGGCTGCTGGCTGCAGTCTGCAGGCTGAGTCATTTGCATTTTGCCTACTGCTGTTGGCCTGATTATGAAAGATGCTGCGTGGGTGATAAATGACCATGCCAGACTGTATGTGGTGAAGAAGGGTGTGTATGCTCCACAATCACAACCACACCCGCACCCACACCCACTGCCGCCTTCCTAGCGATTGTTGCATTTGCCAAACACTGGCGAAATGTTAAAATTTTCAACCCCAGCGCAAATGGCAGCGTCGTTAACCCCTTGCTGAGACGTCGCTATGAGATTAGCTGATGGCCTTCGAAATTTATTTGTCTTCCAAGTCCCACCCCCCCGCACACAACTTATCACTGGCCCTCACACTGACAAGGGTTGTGCATCCCGAATGCCAATCTAATAGATTCCGATTGAGATTTAATTATTTCACTTAATTTTCTAGCTGACTTCATGCGGCTGACTTTGCGCTTAACTTTCATGTCCCACGTCCTTTAACAAGTTAATGAAGCGAATAAATTTCTTGGCAATTATTTTGCGGATTGTTTTAATTGACCTCAAGATGCCCAGGCAGGCAACCAAAGAATGCGCACAGCGGACAAATGAATGGCCAAAGGCAACGGCGATAACTAATTTGCAGTAGATTAAATCATTAAGCGAGGGATTCGCACTGGCCAAAAGGCTGCCAATCTGTAAGAGCCACCAATTAGACTAAACACTTTGGCTACTTGAGGTTTTCCCAATCATTATAACAGGCCATCTCTAGCTATCGCTGTCCATGTGTCTCTCTAGAGCTTTGCTAGTGTCCCTTCAGTGTGTCGAGCTGCCGGCTTGATGGGCGGACGAACGGGACGTCGGATGGACGCATTGTTTATGATGAGTGATTGTTATGAGTTGTCAAAAAGGCATGCGACTCTCTGTCTCTCTCTCTCTCTCTCTCTCTCTCTCTCTCTCTCTCTCTCTCTCTCTCTTTCTCTCTCTGTAGCTGGGAGTGTGTGTATCTAGTGTCTGTTGAGCAGGAAATCCAGCAGGATTTGTTAAAATATGCCGCCAACATATGCAAATATGTTTGCCCACACAAGCCAAAGAGGCTGCGTCTGGTGGACGTGGTACGTGGTACGTGGCAGACGAGCGCCACGTGACGCCAACGCTTCCACCCTCACGTAAGTGGAAACCTATCAAAGTGAGCCGCTGTCGCCCCCTTTTTCGTTGGCAAACAACCCTCCGGTGGTGCCCGGTGCTATACAGAGTTTGCTTTAATGTTTTGACAGTAAAATAAACATATCCAAGTACGACTCTAGCCAAATGAGTGTGCCCGGTCATAGTTGGTTGGGCAAAGGTTCAAGTGTGAGCGACAGCACATAGATGTCAAATATAATTCATCATCCATAGAGCATCATCAAAGACCTGCCTGCTGCCAAGGCCAAGGCCAATCGAGTCTCGAGCATATTGGCAGACAATGAGTGAACTACAGCATCATTATCGAGTTCGAGTACGACTATTGTCTCTGTCTTTTGTCTCTGGCCACATGCTACCCCTTGGCATATCGAGTCTGTGATTTATCACTGAGAATACGTGGCTGACTTGATTGGCTAACACCTGGTAGAGGTGTCAGTGCTTAGAATTTTATTTAATGGCCCAACAGGCTCACAACTTTTCCTAACTCTGTCAATTATGCTGGCGACAATTCGAGTTCGTTGCGGCTGGGCAAACACTTTACTTCAAATGGAGCGCATGAAATCCTTTTAAATAATTAATGTCAATTAGAGACAAAGTTAATTTTTTGGCCATCAGTCCGTCTGTTGGCATTCTCATGGCCCGCAGGTAACACGGAGATACCTGAGACAGAGACAGAGATAGAGGCTGAGACTGTAACTGTAGCTGGGGCTGGGGCTGTCATAAATATTTTATAACATCAATTACAAAGCACTTAACTTTCATGAATTTAATACGAAAAGATGCCAGGCACTTCAGCTCGACCGGCGCACAGATGCTCTCATTTATCTCATATGCCGAAGCAATCAGCACTCAACAGGAACAGGAATAGGAACAGGAAGAGCAATCATCTTTTTCTTTTTTTTTTTTTTGCTTTTGCTCACTCTCTCCCTCTCGGTCTGCTCCCGCCCGGGACAAGTGTAAGCCGCCAGAAACACGCACATACATATGTGTAAGCGCAGAGGAATCCCTGTGTGTGTAAGCCTCGGGCATAAGTCCATCAGGATCAGCCCGGGGCAATCTAAAGTGACTCGATAGAAAAGTAGTTGAAACAACCCCAAAGCAAAGTCCGTCAGCGTCTTGCTCCTTGTTCGATACGGCCAATATTGAAAGTGTGCTGATTTACTTCCCCCAGTCCAGCAGGCACTCAGATTGAGTTCGAGTCTCGGCAACAGCTAAACAAAATCCCAAATAAAATAAAATTAAAATCTCATCAGGGGCACAAGTGGACCCGGACTCGACGCCGGAGCCGGAGCCGGAGCTTTGCACACGTTGATGTTGATAAAAACAATATCAATAGCAGCAATACACACAAATATACAGGCATACACACACACACACATACAGAGACTCTGATATATATAGACTTGGCCTTGCGCCATGAACAGCTGAGGGCCAGGAGCACTTAGTCGCATCATCGAGGTTGGACGTTGGGCGCGTGCCGGCGTCGCCGCATCGTGAAACAATCCCCCCATTGATATTCATGGCCGATTTTCGCGCGGCACAACCCAAATGGGAGCACAAGCCATGTTCCACACATAAATAAATAAAATTTATGGCGCATAGATTCGATATGTCAACAACTTTTCGATTGTACGCGCTGCACTACTGGGATTTCGGATTTCGGATTTCGGTTTTCGGATTTCTTATTTCGCATTTCGGACTCCGGATTTCAGATTGCGGATTTCAAATGTCAGATAAACATAAGTACGGCATAAGCCAGCTTTGTTCTGTGAGCAAGCATATCAATCAATTAAGCATAGTTTGAGCCGTATCCGACTGAGAAATACTCTAACCCAAAAGGGAATTTTATAAAGTTTGATTAATATATGAAATGTAGTTTGCACATTTTTAGGGGAGAAATTCAAGCAACTCCTTTACATATAAATTTTACACTTAGCAGAATTTCGTAAGCCGTTAAAAGTATATAGCCTTTTTCAAAAAAATTTTCCAAATCCCTACAAATATTTTCAGATTTTTCTTGCTCGTATTTTTAATTTAAAACCAAACAGACTTTGACCTATCTTCCCACATTTCATGCTTTTATTTCAGTTGACTTTCAGTCTATAACACATTCAAACCTTATCACTCACCCGAATAATTTTAGATAAGTGAAAAGCTCAATTAACAAATTTTTAATATTATGCAAAATTCCTGTTTGCCCTTTGAAACTGCCTCGCAGCCCAAATAAACATAATTAGCTACTCGTCATATGTGATGGAGTATGAGTGTGTGTGTGTGTGTCTAAACTTTAGAGTGGGTATTTCGAGCGAACCTCTAAGGTTTCATGTGTTCATTTAAATGCCGCATTGTGTTTCTAAAGTGTCCCCAGAGATCTTTTGAGGCGTTAAAGCGTGGCACCCCTTGTTTTGGACCAACAAAATGCATTGGTTTCCGGTTCGGCAACGCCCCGGCCAAATGGGGCGTAGTGGGCGGGCTACTCCGGTGAACGGCGAACGGCGAACGGCGAGTGGGAGTTAATTCGGTAAAGTCACTAACCTCATCAAAGAAGCAAAGGCGCTCTGGCCGTCTACCCCCGCAGGGGGGTGTCGTCTAGCTAGCCTGGCGGACTGGCTGGCTGGCTGGCTGGCTGGCATTAGATTTACGCCAAACGACGTGAGGCGCATATGTTTATGAGTCTCGTCGAGATTGAGTACTCATGGCACAGAGACAGCGGGGGCATGCCTCATGGTTAACCGAAAACGAAAGCAGTACGCGTTGCGCATAAAAGCCTCATGCCGCTGGCCATCGCCGCACGCTGCCTGCTAATGGATTTCAGAGTTACCGATGCCACAGCTACTGCTGCTGCTGCTCCTGCTGCTGCTATTTCTACTACTGCCACTGGGGCAGCCTCTCTTCAGCCAGTTGAAGGGTTGCGAACGTTTTCGCTTTGCCCGCCCGGCAGCATGCTTTCAATTTACTTCCACTTCCTACGGCAAACGCCCTTCGCTGTTGTTGCTGCTGTGACTTACGCACCGTGAATGAATGCAAGAGCCGGCATAGACCGAGACCCAGACCCAGACCCAGACCCAAGCCCAGACCCAAGCCCAAGCCCAAGCCCAGGAGCAGTGCCTGCGGGCCGCCCCGGGTCTGGTCGGCATTGTTGCCGGGGTTTTTTCGGGCGCACGCGACTTTCACACTAACGTAATAAAGAGCTCAACGACACTCAAATTGAATACGTCTCATGGTGCGAATGGCGTAATGATTTTCTCTATGTGAGACTCGATGCAGATAATGGTGCGATACCCCTGCTGCCCGCCTGCCCCGCCTGCCCCGGCTGTCCCGGCTGCCCGGACATCCACACCACTCACACCCACGCCCATTTGCCGCATCCGCAGCCACCCCTCGAGGTTGAGCGTGCTCTCGCTGTTTTTGTTTTTGTTTGCGTGGTGATAGAAATTAACCCCTCAATTGAGGTTGAATTTAATTTGGCGCAAAATGGCAAAAGAGGGTGGACCAGGACCCGGTTTGGACCGGGTTGCCACTGCCACTGCTGCTGCTCCGGCTCCTGCTCCTGCTGCTGCTGTTCATTTGGCTGCACAGTTTGTGCAGTTGAAAATGATATCGCTAACAGGGCCATTGTCAAATTGTCTCTTATTAATTATGATGATGCGTGTGCCGCACACTAACTCGCTCTATCGCTCTCTCTACCCTCTCTCTCTCTGTCTCCTTCCCCCTCTCTGGTGAGCAAAAGGGGAAATGCAAATTTGCCTGAGTTTGGCGTCTTTAACGTAATTTATTGCACGCTGCCTGCTCTGCTGGCTTAGAGTGAAAAGTTAATACCGTACGAGCTAGGCAGAAATTTAAATCCTCTACTTAACCCAACCACACACATACACACACACACAAATACACACACAGGCAGACTTGAAGTTCAATTGATTTGCAGAGAGAAGCAACTATGCCAGGTACTCATACGAAAATTCGCTTCATTTACATCAGACAATAGCTGCGCAGCGAACAATGGCTGAGTCAACTGAAGCAGGAGGTGGGAGGTGGGGAGCAAGGGAAGGAGGCGGGAGCAAGGAGTCTAGGCACGTTGACATCTAGACTTCAGCTTTAAATCAAGCAGCTGACCTGCAACACAGTTAAATCATTGCGCATTAACCAAAAGCCTTTGTCTATTGTGAATAGTGCAGACTTATTCACAATTTAACTTAATCGAGTGTAGTTAGCCAAAGAGCTGAATAGTTGCCAATAGTAATTCATAGAGCAACGCTTTAAGCCACTTTAAACTGTATTCTTATACAAATTACTCTAATTGCTAATGCATCAGATCTAATAAGTAGCTAATTTAGTAGCAGTGCCTATATCACTTAGTTCAAGTTTAGAAAATTGCTGTAGCTCAGAGTTTATGTTGCGACGACGATATAAAGCGTGAATATGCATGTAAATGCAAGTTGAAATGAATATATGTACGTACGTTAATTAACTGTTAGAGAGAGGCTGCTGTTAGTTAGAGCCTGAGGCTAGTTAAAACGAGGCTGGCTGGCCATGCAGAAGGCGCTGCAAGTATAAGAGAGCAAATTATTGGGTTGGATTAAGTGCGGAAGAATGAGGGGAGAAGAGCAATCATATTTCTGTATATACTCTAATATTGTTAAAAGGCTTTACATTAAGCATATATTAAATTGATGGATTAAATTGGTCAATGAAGACATATAATATTTATATACACATATATGGATATATTATGTTTAATAAAATACGAATCTAATAT